TTTTGAGACAGAGTCTTGCTCTGCCGCCCAGGGTGGAGTACAGTGTCGTGATCAGAGCTCACTGCAGCCTCAACCTCCCAGGCTCAAGCGATCCTCCCGTCTCAGTCTCCTAAGTAGCTAGAACTATAGGTGTGAACCACCATGCCTGGCTAATTTTTGTAGTTTTTTTGTAGAGACAGAGTTTCACCATGTTGCCAAAGCTAAGCGATTCTCTCAAGTCAGCCTCCCAAATTGTTGGGATTATAGGCATGAGCCACCAGGTCTGGCCATGAATTTTAGGATCAATCTATTTCTGCAAATAGATTGATGGTTTTTTTTAATAGACTTTATGTTTTAGATCGTTTTACTATTCATAGCAAGACTGAGCAGGAAGTATAGAGTTCCTATGTGGCCCCTATACCACACATACGTAACTTCCCTCTGTTATTAATGTTCCCCACCAGAGCACATTTGTTACAATGAGCCAATACTGATATGTCGTTATCACCTAAAGACCATGGTTTACATTAGGATTCACTCTTGGTGTGGTACGTTTTATGGGTTTATACAAATATATAATGACATGCATATGTCATAATAGGATCATACTAGATAATCTCTTAGAATTTCTTTGTGTTAACTAAGTCTTCTGATTATTCTTAAATGAACATGTGGCCAGGAGCGGTGGCTCACGCCTGTGATCCTAGCACTTTGGGAGGCCGAGGTGGGTGGATCACCTGAGGTCGGAAGTTTGAGACCAGCCTGGCCAACATGGCAGAACCCCGTCTCTACTAAAAGTACAAAAAAATTAGCTGGACGTGGTGGTATGCGCCTATAATCCCAGCTGCTCAGGAGGCTGAGGCAGGAGAATCGCTTTAACCCTAGAGGAAGAGGCTGCAGTGAGCCAAGATCGCGCCACTGTACTCCAGCCTGGGTGACAAAGTGAGACTCTGTCTCAAAACAAACAAACAAACAAAAACTAAATAAATAAAGTAAAATGAACATGCTTTGCTAGTGCAGTTTTTTAAGTTAAAAGTATTGTTTTAAACTTTGCACTGGTCGTGTATTTTTTTCCTGGAAATACTTGAAAGTGATTGGTCAAAAATGTCTTCTTATATTTATTCTTAGTATAGTTCAGTGAAATTAGAGAATAAAGGATCCTTTCTTACATATGCAGAGATTTAGGACAGTGTTTGTGACTTAGGTAAGTTTCGTGGCCAGCAGATAAATCACAATTAAAATCTGGATCCACTGTTAGTTTTATGTACTAGAGTAGTGGTCCTTAAATTAAGAAATGTGAATAGGTTCCAAAAAAGTCAGGTAAATGCAGAGTTTTTAGAAATGCATTATCCATTGCAGATTTCAACTAAATAAACAGTGTAAAAAACAAACACTAAAGTGACTAGAAACAAATGCACAACGCAAGTTTCAGTCCTCAGAGCTACAGAGTCAGAATCTTGGGAAGTGGTGCCCAGCTTCTGTATGGCCAGAAACCTGCCCTGTGATTCTGATCTTGAGTCCAATCTTAAAGCTGCTCCGTGATAATTCTTTAGGGAAGTCAGTGCTTTGCTGATTGTTGGTTGTCTCAAGAGCCTAACAGTTAATCATGCCTTTTGAAGTACTTTGTTGTTTTGTTTGATTCTATTTTTTTTCCTCCTTTTCATGTTTTTGTTATACGAGCTGGAAAATGTGCTGAGGAAATGCAACTGTAGAATATATTTAAGCACTTGAAATAAGCATTTTATTTATAGGGCAAATTTAGTGCATGCCTTAAGCATTTTAATCTGAAACTTCTATCCCAAAGTGTTCGTTTACTGGCATTATTGACAAGGGGTGTTTTGGTTGAAGGACTGTTTTAGAATGTTTGTTTTATTAACTAAAATCTAATTAAGTACTCTTAAATTTTTTTCTTTACAGAAAAGTCTTTTAAGTTATGTGTCACCAAGGAGATGCTCCTTCTTAGTATCACAACTGCTTATACAGGTAATGGAATTACTGTTCTTGTTTTCTCTTGCTTCATAATGATAATAAGGGGTTGAAGACAATAGCCACGTTATTATTTCTCACAATTCTGTGCATTGACTGGGCTCAGTGAATGGTTCTTCTAATGGTGTCACTTGGGGTCTCTTGTGGCTGGTTTCCTTCACATGTCGCCTTCACTGTGGTCAGATGAAAGGCTGAGTATCTCTCTTTTTGTGTAGTCTCAGAGCTGCTCTCCATCTACACGACCCCCTCTATAAGATCACCTTGTGACCCGGCAGTATAGCCAGACACCTTAGTTAATGGACTGATGGCTCCAAAAAAGGCAATGGGAAAGAATACCAGACTTTCTTAAAGCTCAGGCTGCAGTCTAGCCCAACATCACTTCTAGTGGATTCTGTTGGTGACAGCAAATCACAGGGTTGGCCCAAATTCAATGTGGAAGGATTCCGCACAAGGTTCAGAAAAACCAGGACACATGGCTCATTGGGACCAGTGGTTTTAGGGCAACACAGAGCACTACAGAAAATAACCATGAAGAAATCTGTAACTTTATATGGATTAAAATCATTTCTGGACAGGTGTAGTGGCTCATGCCTGTAATCCCAGCACTTTGGGAGGCTGAGGTGGGTGGATTGCTTGAGCCCAGGAGTTCAAGACCAGCCTGGGCAACATGGCGAAACCCTATATCTACTAAAAATACAAAAAATTAGCCAAGTGTGGTGGTGCATGCCTGTAGCCCCGGCCACTCAGGAGGCCGAGATCAGAGGATCACCTGAGCTCAGGAAGTCAAGGTTGCATGATCTGAGATAGCACCACTATACTCCAGCCTGGGCCACGGGAGTAAGACCTCTGTCTCAAAAAATAAAAAATAAAATAAAATAAAAATAATTTCTAATGAAATAGAAGCATGTCATAATGTGGTATGATAACAGGTGGAGTACCCGTAAGTCAAGAATGATAAGGAAATTTGTTTTCTTTTAAAAAATGCTGTAATTTGCTCTTTTCCTTTTATGTGCAACATATTTTTAGGTGAAATAGAATAAACATTAAACATCTTTAACAGTTAAGGTTTTGTAGCATTAGGGAATCAAGGTCCCCTACTGATTTACTCTAATTTTTTAATCTTAGGAATTTTCTTTTCCTAGAAAAAAGGGTTTAATTAAAACATTATGGTGCTTTTAAAACACATTGTATAGTATGTATTGGCTTTCCATTACAGTGAGAATATAATCCAATAGGGGCTGGGCACAGTGGCTCATGTCTGTAATCCCAGCACTTTGGGAGGCTGAGGTGGGCAGATCACATGGGGTCAGGAGTTCGAGACCAGCCTGGCCAACATGGTGAAATGCCTAAAAATGGAAAAATTACCCTGGTGTGGTGGTGCACGCCTGTAATCCCAGCTACTTGGGAGGCTGAGGCAGGGAGAATTGCTTGAACCTGGGAGGCAGAGGTTGCAGTAAGCTGAGATAGCGCCACTACACTCCAGCCTGGGCAACAGAGTGAGACCCTCTCTCAGAAAAAAATAGGAATGTTCGTGTTTCTTTGGAAAGCTACTAACAAGGTTAATGAGCACGTTAGTCTTCACTATTACAAAGTTACGTTAATTATCACCTCTGCCCATCTCCACCTGTATGGAGAGTGATAGGTTTTAACATAAGGATATCTGTTCATTTGAGTTATATACTTTTATCTGAAATATATAGCAGATGCCGTCTTGTGGTATCTTAATTTTAGCTGCTATAACAAATTTCCATAGACTGTGTGGCTTAAACAACAGACATTTATTTCTCACAGTTCCGGAGGACACAAACATTTAGTCCATAGCATGAAGCTAATTCCATTTCATCAGTTACATCCCATCAAATTATGCTCTGCTTGGGGATTAATATTTCAGTCTCTATGAGTTTTGTTTTGTGTGTTTTACTACTCAAGTATTCTTTTGTCAGATACTACTAGATGGGAAGATAAACAAAAATGTGAATGTATAAATTACATCTTTTTTTTTTTTTTAACTGAAGGTCTGGAATTAACTTTCTTCTCTGGTGTATATGGAACCTGTATTGGTGCTATAAATAAATTTGGAGCAGAAGAGAAAAGCCTTATTGGACTTTCTGGCATTTTCATCGGCATTGGAGAAATTTTAGGTTGGTTTTTAAAAAAAGCATTAGCATTAAAAATATTGGTTTATTATGGGTAAAATAGAAATTTGAAGTGCCCCTCACCTTTGTCCTTGAATTTCTGTTTTTTTCTACTTATTTTTACCCAAACATGTATGTTTTTATTTTTCTATTATTGCTATTCTTCTTTTTTTGAGACGGAGTCTCACTCTGTCGCCTAGGCTAGAGTTGGATTGCAGTGGTGCGATCTCGGCTCTCTGCAAGCTCTGCCTCCCAGGTTCACGCCATTCTCCTGCCTCAGCCTCCCAAGTAGTTGGGACTACAGGTGCCTGCCACCATGCCCGGCTAATTTTGTTTTTGTATTTTAAGTAGAAATGGGGTTTCGCCGTGTTAGCCAGGATGGTCTCTATCTCCTGACCTCGTGATCTGCCCTCCTCGGCCTCCCAAAGTACTGGGATTACAGGCGTGAGCCACCGCTCCCGGCCTATTACTGCTATTCTAATATGACTAAATTATGAAACATTTGCAAAATAATTCACAGATGGAAACCCTGTGTTAGAAAACACACAGTGTCTCCCCACTTTTCCTCTTAAAATATTTAGAATGTCTTGGAATTCCTGACTCTGATTCTCTGATTCCCTGACACCAACTGGGTGTCCAACAGCTCAGTCCTGTTCTAACACTTAACTATCCAGAGTTAGCGTCAGATTCTACAGGTTTAAGGGTTCAGTCCTACAGACAGACAGACCGACAGTCATGGGTCCATAGGCCTCTCAGGCACATCTCTCTGACTTGGGTACAAATTTGGAGGTTCCCACAGCCCTCTTCCCCCTTCAGGTTTGATAATTTCCTAGAGCAACTCACAGAACTCAGGAAAATGCTCTCCTGACTATTAGAGTTTATTATAAAGGATACAGATGAACAGCCTGATGAGGAGGTGCAAAGGGTGGGGTCTGAAAGGGTCCCTAAGTGCAGGAGCCTCTGTCTCCATGGATTTTGGGTTCACCACTCCAGAAGCTCCTCTAACCCTTTTTAGGGGGATTTATGCAGATCCTGTTACATAGGCATGATTGATTAAATCATTGGCCACATGGCCTGGTGCAGTGGCTCATGCACTTTGGGAGGCCGAGGTAGGAGGATTGCTTGAGCCCAGGAGTTTGAGACCAGCCTGGACAACATAAGGAGACCCTGTCTCTTAACAACAACAACAAAAAACAATCATTGGCCATTGGTGATTGATGTAATCTCCAGCCTTCCCTCCCTGAAGAGGGAGTGAAAGGGCCTAGAAGTTCCAGTGCTTAGGGCTTGGTCTTTCTGGGAACCAGCCCCATCCTGAAGCTCTATCCCAGGCCAACCCCTCTGTCCCCAAGAGTTGCCCCCTTAACATAAACTTCGGTATGATTGAAAGTGGCTCCTTCTGAATAACTAATGTCCCTCATATCACTGAGGAAATTCCAGACCTTTTAGGATTTCTGTGCCAAGAACTAGCAGCAAAGACCAAATAAATATTTTTATTATGCTCCACTAGTTACTCTTATTCAACAAAGATTTGTTCAGCACTTGCAGTATATTGAATATTGTGTTAGATATGAGGAACTTCAACAAAGATTTATTGTAATCTGTCATGTCAACAAAACAGACAAAAACACCTGCCCACGTAGAGCTTATATGCTACTCAGGAAGAACACAGACAATAAAAACAGAAGACTTTGCATGTCAGGCAGTGGTGAGCACCGTGGCTCAAGTGGACTTTGGAGGGTTTGTTTGTTTTTGTTTTTTGGTCCCTGCCTTATTGCCAACACCTGGAGCAGGACAAGGTCTATATTATTGGGCATCCAATAGATGAGTTAAATGTGTTGAATGAATAACGAGAACATGATTTCAGCAGAACTTAGTCACCGGTTGCATGGCGGGGTGAGGAGAGGTGTCTAGAATGATGACCAGGTTGATGAGAGTAACCTGGGCAGAGAAAATGCTGTAGGAGATGGGGTTTGGGGAGATCTGCTGAATGGGATTTTGAACACCTCTGAGTACCAGAGAGGCACCCAAATAGAGAAGTGTCCAGTGGGAAATGCAGGCTGATGCTCAGGAGGGACTCGTGGGCCAGAGACTGATGTTGGGAGTTAAGGGTATATAAATGGCAGACGAAGCTTAGCCATGGTGAGTCGGTGCAGGGTAGTCTGTCTGGTAAGTGCTTGTTTAGTGTCTGCCTGTAGACCACCTGGGAAGAAACTCACTTTCTGTAGGCTGCCTGCTTTTTTGAAAAAATAATTTCAAATTGATAAGAAATTGCAAAAATAGGCCAGGCGCAGTGCTCACGCCTGTAATCCTAGCGCTCTGGGAAGCTGAGGTGGGCAGATTGCTTGAGCTCAGGAGTTTGAGACCAACCTGGGCAACATGGCAAAACCCCATCTCTACAAAAAAAGTACAAAAATTAGCCAGGTGTAGTGGCGTATGCCTGTAGTCCCAGCTACTTGGGAGGCTGAAATGGGAGGTTGCAGCCCAGATCACACCACTGCACTCCAGCCTGGGCGACAGAGCAGGACTTTGTCTCAAAAAAGTCAAAAAACCAAAACAAAAAAAGAAATTGCAAAAATAAGAATAGTGCAAAGAACATCTGAATATCCTTTAACAGGATTCACCTATTGTTAACACTTTCCCTTCTTTACTTTTTCTTTTTTTTTTTAAAGACAGAGTCTTTCTCTGTCACCCGGGCTAGAGTACAGTGACTCGGTCTCGGCTCCCTGCAACCTTCGCCTCCCGTGTTCAAGCAATTCTCCTGCCTTAGCCTCCCAAGTAGCTGGGACTACAGGCACCCGCTACCACACCTGGCTAATTTTTGTATTTGTGGTAGAGATGGGGTTTCACCATGTTGGCCAGGCTGGTCTTGATCTCCTGACCTCTTGATCCACCCACCTTGCCTCCCAAAGTGCTGGGATTACAGGCATGAGCCACTGCACCCGGCCCTCCTGTCAGTATTTTTGAGCTTTGTTCTTAGATGTAGTTCATTTCATTGAAAACAGCGTACCTTTTAAGATTTGTTGGGCAAGACTGCAGCATTACTCAGTCTAGGGCTAATTATTTCCTGCTTCTAAGGGAAGACCCTTCTGTGTGCTCCACCCAGTTCCTGTGAATCATAAGCTTTTAAGTGGCTGGTGGGCCAGACACTATACCCAGCTGAGGGCGGGGCCCTAGTACCACTAATCCTCTTGGCTGGTTCTTTCCCTGGCTTCTGCTAATTTGCTCCCTTTATGTGCTGATCAGTCCTCAGCTGAAGACTCAGGGGGACTGTCTGCAGCTCTCTGGAATTGTTTTTCTGTGCCGCTCTCCTTTCTGATACCGTCGTCTGTGAACTCTAGTTACCCTGATATCCCGAGATTCACATCCCCGTCTCTTCAATCCATGGAGGCTGCTGGGCTCCGCCTGGGTTCTTTCTCCCTCTGTTGCCTACTCTTGAGAGGAACTGCCAAATATTTTCCAGAGTGGCTGTACCAGCAATGAATGAGTGATTCCGTTTTTCTGAATCCTTGCCAGCATTTGGTGTTATCACTATTTTTGATGTTAGCGATTGTGATAGATGTGTAGTCATGTTTCATTGTGGTTTTACTTTCTTTAATGGGTAATGATGTTGAACATCTTTTCATGTGTTTATTTGTCCTCTTTATGTCTCCTTTGGTGACATGTATGTGCATATCTTTTGCCCATTTTCTAGGCAGGGTTTTTTTGTTTTGTTTTGTTTTTACTGCTCACCTTCACTTTTTAAATTTTTTTATTTTTTTCCCCAGACAGAGTCTCGCTTGGTCGCCAGGCTGGAGTGCAGTGGCGCAATCTTGGCTCACTGCAACTTCCGCCTCCTGGGTTCAAGCGATTCTCCTGCCTCAGCCTCCTGAGTAGCTGGGACTACAGGCGCATGCCACCACGCCCAGCTAATTTTTATATCTTTAGTAGAGACAGGGTTTCACCATGTTGGTCAGGATGGTCTCGATCTCTTGACCTCATGATCTGCCCACCTTGGCCTCCCAAAGTGCTGGGATTACAGGCATGAGCCACCACGCCCAGCAACTTTTTTCATTTTTTAAATTTATTTTTTTATTTTTTTGAGACAGTCTCACTCTGGTGTCCATGCTGGAGTGCAATGGCATGATCTCGGTTCACTGCAACCTCTGCCTCCCGGGTTCAAGGGATTCTCCTGCCTCCGCCTCTTAAGTAGCTGGGACTACAGGCATGTGCCACCACACCTGGCTAATTTTTGTATTTTTAATAGAGATAAGGTTTCACCATGTTGGCCAGGCTGGTCTCGAACTCCTGATCTCAGGTGATCTGCCTGCCTTGTCCTCCCAAAGTGCTGGGATTACAGGTGTGAGCCACCGCACCTGGCCCACTTTTTAAAGTATATATACAATGTTTTCTTTGTTTTTTTAAAAAAGAGTCTTGCTGTGTTGCTGAGGCTGGTTTGGAACTCCTGGCCTCAAGCAGTTCTCCTACCTTGGCCTCCCAAAATGCTGGGATTACAGGCATGAGACCCTGCACCCAGCCATCCTTCACTTTTGATATATAGGTTTGCTGGTATAGATTTCTGGGGTATAAATCACTTAAAAATTGTAAAGGTCATGCCCCATAGTCTTCTTCCTTTCAGTTACAGAGTTCTTCCCTTCTCACTGTTGAGGACTCTCCTTCAGTTCTTGAGACATCCTTAGCTGTTCTGGCTGCTGAGTCTTCCTAGGCCTCTCCGACTCCTCTTCGGAGCTCACACATAATTCTCAGAATCCATAATGACGCTTTCAGTGTGATACTTTGGCTTGTTTGGCTATGATTACAACAAAGTTGTATCCTTATTATGACAAGTTGTGTCCTTATTTTATTTCTGTTATAAGCTACAGGTCAAAGGGGATAGCTTGCAGGGTACAATAATTCACAGAGAAGAAATACAAGAATGTTCCTGGATAGAAATGCAAGTCATTTTGATACCTTACTTTTTTGTTCTAATCGTTGATGCTTGGTCCTCATTATCATTGTCTGCAAGTGCTGAGGTGTTGGATTTTTTGAAGAAATTTAACAAGTGAGAATGTTTATTCCTTGGCTCCTTGGTGGATAGCTCAGGCCTGGGTGTGTAATGTTTCAGCAACGTTAGTGATGTTTCTGCCGTCTTGACTTGTAGGTGGAAGCCTCTTCGGCCTGCTGAGCAAGAACAATCGTTTTGGTAGAAATCCAGTTGTGCTGTTGGGCATCCTGGTGCACTTTATAGCTTTTTATCTAATATTTCTCAACATGCCTGGAGATGCCCCGATTGCTCCTGTTAAAGGAACTGACAGCAGTGCTTACATCAAATCCAGGTATAGTGGCTGTCATTTCTCTAGTCACTTGAGGACGGGTGGGAGGTAACGGATGGCTAGATATTGAAAGTGGAGCAGTTAATCCTCTTCAGAGAGCCTGGTGTCTCTCTAAGGTCATCTGTCAAGTGTTCATGGAGTCAGACTGAGTTTAAATAGGAATCCTTAGAGAATCCTAAGTTATTTTTGTAATGGTTGGTTTTAACCTCTTCCCCCACTAAATGTTTTTCTTGATCCTTGAAGGAGCACATGAGTATCTGATTTGAATTTTTTATCTCTGCTTCTTGAGCAGTGAAATATCCAGATATTAGGGCCTGGAGGAAGAACAAAGAGGAGCGAGGGAAAACCTGGCAACTGGGGAGGCCATTCAGTCCTTCCAGAGCAGTTTATATAACGTTTGAGGATATTGGTTTATTGCACTCAACTCTCAAGTTCATTATAAATGCAGACATTTGTGTCCAGCTCCACAAATCCAAGGGGAGCCCAGCCCACAAAACTATACAAACTGAGTATGTCGCATCTGAAAATCTGAAATCCAACATGCTCCAAAATCCGAAACTTTTCGAGGGCCAACATGATGCTCAAAGGGAAGTGCTTATTAGAACATTTCAGATTACAGATTATCAGATTAAAATTACCTAACTGGTCAGTATAATGCAGGTGTTCCAAAACCTGAAAAGAAGATTTGAAACACTTCTGGTCTTGATAAGGGATACTCAACCTGCGTTTTCTTCACAAATGGGTGAGACCAGAGTTTGTTAGAATGTAAAGGTGTGTGCATTTGAGCACAAATTCTTACCTTATAAATTCTAGTCTTTATTTATTTATTTATTTATTATTTTTTTTTTTTGAGACAGAGTCCCACTCTGTCTGCAAGCCTAGAATGCAAGTGGCGTGATCTCCACTCACTGCAACCTCCGCCTCTGGGGTTCAAGCAATTCTGGTGCCTCAGCCTCCTGAGGTGGCGCGATCTCCACTCACTGTGACTTCCACCTCCGGGGTTCAAGTGATTCTCCTGCCTCAGCCTCCCGAGTAGTTGGCATTACAGGCACGCGCCACTATGCTCAGCTAATTTTTGTATTTTTAGTAGAGGTGGGGTTTTGCCATGTTGGCCAGGCTGGTCTCTAACTCCTGTCCTCAAGTGATCTGCCCACCTCAGCCTCCCAAAGTGCTGGGATTCCAGGCATGAGCCACCATGCCAGCTTTGTCTTTATTTTTGTTTCATAGGATTTAAAACTTGCAGGTAGAATGCTTTTGTGGGTGGGTTGCTTGTATATTTTAAATGGCTCAGCAGATATTGCTCATACTAAATTGATTTTTGTTTTCTTCAGCAAAGAAGTTGCCATTCTCTGCAGTTTTCTGTTGGGCCTTGGAGACAGCTGCTTTAATACCCAGCTGCTTAGTATCTTGGGCTTTCTGTATTCTGAAGACAGTGCCCCAGCATTTGCCATCTTCAAGTTTGTTCAGGTAACCTCTTCAGATTGCGACTGTGTTTGACGTAGGGCTCTTTCCTTTGTGTATTACCTTGTTTTTCTTGGTTATTTGTATCGTGGTTTTAATTTTTATTTCCTTTTATTTTTTTTGATAGAGTCTCTCTCTGTCACTCAGGCTGGAGTGCAGTAGCGCAATCTTGACTCCCTGCATTCTCCGCCTTCCGGGTTCAAGCAATTCTCCTGCCTTAGCCTCCCGAGTAGCTGAGATTACAGGCACACACCACCACACCTGGCTAATTTTTGTGTTTTTTTTTTTTTCTTTTTAGCAGAGGTGGGGTTTCACCATGTTGATCTTGAACTTCTGACCTCAGGTGATCCACCCGCCTTGGCCTGCCAAAGTGCTGGGGATTATATGTGTGAGCCACTGCACCTGGCCTGTTTTTTTTTTTTTTTAAAAACAAAGTTGGCCGGGCACCACGGCTCAAGCCTGTAATCCCAGCACTTTGGGAGGCCAAGGCGGGCAGATTACAAGGTCACAAGATTGAGACCATCCTGGCTAATATGGTGAAACCTCATCTCTACTAAAAATATAAAAAAAATTAGCTGGGCGTGGTGGCACGTGCCTGTAGTCCCAGCTACTCGGATGGCTGAGGCAGGAGAATGGTGTGAACCCAGGAGGCGGAGCTTGCAGTGAGCTGAGATCAAGCTACTGCACTTCAGCCTGGATGACAGAGCGAGACTCCGTCTCAAAAAAAAAAAAAAAAAGACAGTCTTACTCTGTAGTCCAGACTGGAGTGCAGTGGCACGATCTTGGCTCAGTGCAATCTCTGCCTCCCAAGTAGCTGGGATTACAGGCATGCACTACCACGTTCAGCTAAGTTTTTATATTTTTGGTAGAGATGAGGTTTCACCATTTTGGCCAGGCTGGTCGTAAACTACTGGCCTCAAGTGATCCGCCCGCTTGGGCCCTGCAAAGTCCTGGGATTATAAACATGAGCCACCGCCCTGGCTAGATTGTGTTTCTTATTTTATTTTATTTTATTTTTTTGTTTCTTCTTTTTTTTTCTTTTTTTTTTGCTTTTGTCTTATGTTTTTTAAACAAAAGTTGGGGATTTAAAAGGATTTTTGAATAGAATTAGGAAGCCATGAGCAGTAAGATTTTTTGTGTAACAGATTTTACGTTCTGGTCTCTATGGCTCTGATTAGAGATTTCCTTCCTTACATACCAGAATTCTATTCACTCGTAATACAGACAAGTGTATTTCTTACTCTGTACATTCTTGTTACTCCAGTTTTCCACAAAATGCTGTTTTTGTTTCATTTTATTTTATTTTATAGAGATGGGGTCTTGCCATGTTGTGCAGGCTGGTCTTGAACTTCCGGGCTCAAGCATTTCTCCCACCTTGGCCTCCCAAAGTGTTGGGTGGCATGAACCACCACACCTGGCCAAAATGCTGTTTTAAATACCAGGGATTGTAGCAGGAATTTATGGTGCATGTTTGTGAGTCAGTGACTGAGGAAGTCATACCTAGATGCAGAAAGAATAGAAAGCACTGCCAGTTCCAGGTGTCCTTGGGGCCGGATAGGAGTGGGGCTAGGGGCTAACTGTGGCTCAGCATGGCCCCCGGTGTGCCTGTTGTGATTTGTTTTGTTTGTTCTTAGTCTATTTGCGCAGCCGTGGCATTTTTCTACAGCAACTACCTTCTCCTTCACTGGCAACTCCTGGTCATGGTGATATTTGGGTTTTTTGGAACAATTTCATTCTTCACTGTGGAATGGGAAGCTGCCGCCTTTGTAGCCCGCGGCTCTGACTACCGAAGTATCTGATCTGGTGTCCATGAGGGGACACGTGTGACCTCAGAAACACAGCTGGACACAGAGCTTGGTGGAAGAAGTCGCCTTTGATCTTCACTATATATTGGGTGATGTTCAGTATGGAAAATCAAGGGATTAAGACTGTTCAATCAGCCAGAGTTGGTGTTCAAGTTTACAGATATGAGTTATTTAAAGCAAGTGGAATAAGGGAAAGCTGTTCTGTCAACTGTAATTGTTCAAAGATGTTGTTTTTCATTTCATCTATCTCAATTCTTATAATCATGTTATAGAATGTACATGTTTTCTTTTCCCTCCTGCTCGTGTTGGAAGATCCTGCCTTGATTTAGAATACTAGGCCGTATGTCATATAAATATTTTTTCTGGCTATGGAGTATGTTTTGCTATGTAATCATGGGAAGCATATGTCACTCCCGATATGTGTTGGAGAATGACATTTAAATAAATAGCAAAGCTGGGTGTGGTGGTGCACACTTATACTCCCAGCTGCTGGGGAGGCTGAGACAGAAGGATCACTTCAGCCCAGGAGTTTGAAGCTGAGACAGAAGGATCACTTCAGCCCAGCAGTTTGAGGCTGTAGTGAGCTATGATCACACCACTGCACTCCAGGCTGGGCAACAGAGTGAGACCCTGTATTGCAAATAATAATAGGCCAGGCACAGTAGCTCATGCGTATAATCCCAACACTTTGGGAGGCTGAGGTGGGTGGATCACCTTTGGTCAGGAGTTTGAGACCAGCCTGGCCAACATGGTGAAATCTCATCTCTACTAAAAATACAAAAATTTGTTGGGTTTGGTGGTGCATGCCTGTAATCCTAGCTACTAGGAAGGCTGAGGTAAGAGAATTCGCTTGTACCTGGGAGGCAGAGGTTGCAGTGAGCTGAGATCGTGCCATTGCACTCCAGCCTGGGTGACAAGAGCGAAACTCCATCTCAAAAGAAAAGAAAAGAAAAAAAAACAGAAAAGAGAAGAATAATAATGATAATTTTTTTAAATAATGAAAAAGAAATAAGATGCTGAAATGAAATCTTGATTTTGAAAATATGTCTTCCTCTGTAAATGTTTTGTTTGATAAGTTTTCTTACCTTGTAGCTCATAGCAAGGAGTGGCCAATTAAGTATTATGAAATAAGGTAAAAATTGTCTTAAGTCTTTTTTAAAATTTTTATTTATTTATTTATTTAGAGACAGAGTCTCACTCTGTTTGCCCAGGCTAGAGTGCAGTGGCGCAATCTCAGCTCATTGCAACCTCTGCCTCCCAGGTTCAAGCAATTCTCGTGCTTCAGCCTCCCAGCTAGCTAGGATTACAGGTGGGTGCCACCACACCTGGCTAATTTTTGTATTTTTAGTAGAGATGGTGTTTCACTATGTTGGCCAGGCTGGTCTCGAACTCCTGACCTCACGATCCACCTGCCTCAGCCTCCCAAAGTGCTGGGATTACAGGCATGAGCCACTGCACCCGGTGGTTCCAGATGTTGAAATTCTGGTTTTCCTTTTTGAAGTTGATATAACCTCCATTGGCTTAGTCGATCCTATATAAATAATTTACAAATGCCCTTTTAGACTTAAAGTAGTGATTTATTATCTCTTTAAGCACATTCTTTATCAAGGTGTATTAGTTTTCTAATGTGCCATAACAAATTACCCCAAAACGTAGCCACTTAAAATAACACACATCTATTTCATCACAGTTTCTGTGGGTCGGGAATCTGGGCATGGCTGAGCTGAGTCCTGGGCGCAGTGTCCCTCCAGGCTGCAGTGAAGGTGTGTTCCAGGCTTCCCTGGGGGAGGGCCTGCTTCTCTGCTCACTCATGTAGTTGTTGCAGGAGTCAGTTCCTCACAGGCTGTCAGGCCAAGGGTCTTGGTTTCTTATGGCTATTGGCTAAAGACTGCCCTCTGCCCTTCGTCTTGCTACGGAGTAGTCTTCAGGGCAGCCCACAACATGGCAGCTGTCTCCATCAAAGGACACAAGCAAGGACAGCCGGAGAGAGCAGAGCAGGACAAAAGCTGCAGTCTCTCGTGACTTCATCACCGCTGCACTCTGTCTGTTCGGTGCCAGTCACTAGTTCCAGCCTATCCTCAGGGGAGGGCATTGGTGGGGAGCATCTTACAAGGCTGCCCACCTTGCCACCTGTCACAATGAGACTTACATGGAAGGTGACAACTGGGTCCTTTTTCCCAAGCCCTGCATTCTCCAGGCCCTTGTTCTGTTTGCTCATAATGGATCTGTACAATCCTGCTGGCAGAAGGAGGTGAAGCCACCTCTGTTAATGACACTGAGAATTTTAATCTGAGGAAGCCATGGCATCTTGTCACCCCTAGGATTCCTGGTGATTATTGTCAACAGGGAAAGGAAATGGAGTGAAGTGCTGTATGCAGTATGGCAGGAACGCAACTTTTCCTAGGTTGCCTCCTACTTGCTTTGTGCTGTAGTATTCATTTTCAGTTTTGTACTCACTTTTTTGTTAGAGACAGCGTCTCACTTTGTTGCCCAGGCTGGATCACAGTGGCAGAATCATGGCTCACTGCAGTTTCAACCTCCTGGGCTCAAGCAATACTCCTGCCTCAGCCTCCCAAGTAGCTAGGACCACAGGCATGTACCACCATGCCTGGATAATTTTTTTAATTTTTTGTAAAGACAGTGTCTTCTTATCTTGCCCAGGCTGGCCTCGAAATCCTGGGCTCCAGTGATCCTCCTGCCTCGGCCTTCCAAAGTGCTGGGATTACAGGAATGAGCTACTATGCTTTCTTTTTTATTTTTTCTTTTCCCCCTGTGGGGAGTTTGTTTTGCTTTTATTCAGTTCTTTTTTTTTGAGACGGAGTTTCACTCATGTTGCCCAGGCTGGAATGCAATGGCGCGAACTCAGCTCACTGCAACCTCTGCCTCCCAGGTTCAAGCGATTCTCCTGCCTCAACTTCCCAAGTAGCTGGGGCTACAGGCATGTGCCACCACGCCCAGCTAATTCTGTATTTTTAGTAGAGATGGGGTTTCTCCATGTTGGTCAGGCTGGTCTTGAACTCCTGACCTCAGGTGATCCACCCACTTCGGCCTCCCAAAGTGCTGGAATTACAGGCTTGAGCCACGGCGCCCAGCCTTTTTTTTTTTTTTTTTTTTTTTTGAGACAGAGTCTCGCTCTGTTGTCCAGACTGGAGTGCAGTGGTATGAACTCGGCTCAGTGCAACCTCCACATCCCGGGTTCAAGCAATTCTCCTGCCTCAGCCTTCCAAGTAGCTGGGACTACAGGTGCACACCACCATGCCTGGCTAATTTTTGTATTTTTTAGTAGAGACGGGGCTTCACCATGTTGGCCAGGCTGATTTTGAACTCTTGACCTCATAATACTCCCACCTCAGCTTCCCAAAGTGCCGTGATTACAGGCGTGAGCCACCGCGCCCAGCTGCTTTTATTCAGTTCTTATGTCTATAGTTTTGATCTTAGTTAACTCTTTAGATGACTGTATAACATTAAGGTCATCTTTTAAATTCTTTGCATTATTTGAGTTAAAGATGAAATGTGGGGTCAGGTATGGTGGCTCACACTTGTAATCATAGCACTTTGGGAGGCTGAGGCAGGCAGATCACAAGGTCAAGAGTTCGAGACCAGCCTGGCCAACATGGTGAAACCCCATCTCTACTAAGAATACAAAAATTAGCCGCGTGGTGGCAGGCGCCTGTAATCCCATCTACTCAGGAAGCTGAGGCAGGAGAATTGCTTGAACCCATGAGGTGGAGGTTGCAGTGAGCCAAGATCACGCCACTGCATTCCAACTCAAAAAAAATTTTAAAAAGATGAAATGTGACAATGAAATAGTTTAATTTTTATGCTTGTCTTATATATGCTGTTCAAAACTTTTGTCTTCATGCTTGTAGCTAAGTAAATGCGGTAGTTGTTTGTGTGTGTGGATGCCCTGCTCTTTTATTGCAAGTTTCATATTGGGTGTGTGCTTATTTGTGTGTGTGGATGTCCTGCCCTTTTATTGGAAGTTTTGTATTGTCTATATTTAGATTTGGCTTAGACCTTGAGCAACGTTTATTGAACCACAGGTGTTTTTCTCTGTGAGTATGAAAACATTCCCCCCTCCCCTCCCCAGTTTTCCCATACCCCAACTTGAAGGCCTTTAAACCTGGGCTTCGGCTGCCCACACAGAGGATTTCTTTCCTCTAGGAGTTTTTGTTGGTTGGTTGGTTTGTTGTTTGTTGACTTATAGTAAGTCCCTTGGGAGTCTTTTGTTTTTTGAGATGGAGTTTCACTCTTGTTGCCCAGGCTGGAGTGCAATGGCACAGTCTCGGCTCACTGCAACCTCTGCCTCCTGGGTACAAACGATTCTCCTGCCTCAGACTCCCGAGTAGCTGGGATTACAGATGCCTGCCACCATGCCCAGCTAACTTATTTTTTGTATTTTTAGTAGAGATGGGATTTCACCATGTTGGCCAGGCTGGTCTCGAACTCCTGAGCTCACGTGATCTGCCCGCCTTGGCCTCCCAAAGTGCTGGGATTACAGGTGTGAGCTCCCACGCCTGATTCCCTTGGGAGTTTTTAAGTTCATAAAAGTACAAATAAGTCTCCATTAATAGTCAAGTTTTTTGTATCCTCACACCCATTGGGATGGCTGCTATCCAAAAAAAAAAAAAGAAAAGAAAAAAGAAAGGTGTTGGCAAGGATGTGGAGAAACTGAAGCCCTCGTGCACTGTGTGTGGAAATGTACAATGGTGAAGCCACTGGGAAAACGGTATGG